AAATGTATGTAAGTTTCCTGCTCTGGAATATCTCTGCTCTGAAGATATCTGTTCTTTATTGAAGTTTTTTTTTTTTTAGCTTTATTAGCGAGATCGATATCTTTCTCGAAGTTCTCGAAACTTCTCTAAAGTGTTTGCAGTTCTCATGAAGCTTTTTGTACTTCCATGAATTTAATTGAACTGTTCTAAAAATGTTTAAGCTTGCGTGAACTTTTGGACTAATGTGAAAACCTCAATAATTTTCTTAACATCTCTAAAGTTCTCTGAAAATCTGGGAACTTCTTGAATTTTCCCGCTAATTTAGTGAAACTAATGGAACTGAACTCCCCTGAAATTCCCTTTGTTTTTGGAGCTTAACTAAACATGTTTGAGGGGGGGGGGGAGTCCATAAAAGTTTTTAAGTTTTCGCATCTTCCCTTAAGTTCCATAGACTTTTATGAAGTTCTCGAAATGTTTCTGAAGATCTCTGTACTTGTGTGAAGTTTTCGAAGTTACTTTGAAATTTCAGGAACTTCTTTAAGGTTCCACAGCGAAATAATTAATATAGTTATTTGATATTCACTGAAGTTCTCAAGATTTGTCTGAAGTTCAAATCATCGAAACTAATTCATAACTTCTTCAATAGTTTGGAGTTTCCTGATGTTTTTAAAACTGCCCAAAATATTTCTCAATTTACTTAAAACTCTCTAGTCTGCCCTGAATATCTTAGTATTTTTTTTTTCAAAAGAACCCACCATTTTACTGGAATTGATTTAATTGCCTTTAAGTTCTACAATTTTCCTTAAGTTTTATATCCTTGTAAGTCGCTGCAAATTTGCGTTAGTTAATGTGCTTTTCTGATGTTACCCAATCGTCCTCGAAGTACTCGGAACTTGACTGAATATAATGAAACTTTCTAAAAATATCTAAATTTCTTAGAAGTTCTCTGGGATTTCTTGAAAATATCGGTGCTTGCTAATAGTTCTCGCCTTTTTTTTAATAATAGAACTTCTTTGATATTCTCTAATCAACTTAGCTAAATTTTCAAATTTATGTAGATCTTGAAATTTCCATGATATAACACTCTTGAAATACTCTCACATTTTCCGGATGTTCATATAATTTTTATTGCGTTCCATAAATTTTCTTTGAGCAAACCGAAGTTTCGGGAAATTCCGGTTTCAGCAATTTCCTTGATTTTTTTTTTTGAACTGCCCTTTAATTCTCTGATCTGTCTTGATGTTCTCGGAGCTTCCTTAAAACTCTCAACTAATATCTCGGGTTTGCTTTGAAATAAATGGAATTCTTGTAAACACCTTTAAACTTCCCTGGAATTATCTGAATTTCTTTGAAGTTCCTAAAATATTTCTGAAGTTTTCATTAATTTTCTGAAGGTCTCTGTACTTAATCTTTCGGAACATCTTATGGGTTATAGATTTTATTTCAGCACATCATGGAACTATCCTGAATTTGTCTAAACTCACGCTTATAGATGTTTAAACCAATTCAATAGTCTGGGCTAAAGTTTCGGGAACTTCCCATTAAGATCTCTGGGATTCCCCAAAGATCTTTAGATCTAGCTTTTCTGACAGCAATAGAACTTCATTAAAGTTTACCCATTTTTGTTAGTACGAAAGGTCAAGACATTACATAATTTGTGATCTTAGACTTATTAACTTCAACATTTAATGGATTTGATAGTAAAGCTGTTTCTTTAAAACTGATTGTCATGTCTTAAAAACGTTTGCGTAAAAACATATTTTTAACGCATTTCATTAATAGCATTCTTATTATAAACGTGGAAACTATCCGCTACTGTTATGGAAAAACCAGGAAAACTCAGGGAACTTTATTAAGCCAAATGAGTGGAGTTTTTTTTTTACGTTTAATCGTTTTTCTCAATCTACAGGGTATTGAGAAAAACCATCAAACGTAAAAAAAAAACTCTATACAAACTTCGAATTGTTCAAAAAATAGAACAAAATGTAGGCCTATTCAGAAGAATGATCAATCTTGAAATAAATTCACGTTTAAAAAAGTTTGAAATAGTGACTTATTACAAGAAAAAGTGACTTTAGTGACTTGGCCTTAACAAAAGAGACTTTTTAGTGACTGGCTTGAAAACAGTGACCAGATAGCTTTCAGATAGTCACAATCAACGATTTTACGACACACGAGCGCTCACTTTTTAACATCTTTCTAACATCTTGTAGACAGAAATCCTAAAAAATTCTGAAGCTTTGAGATTTGTTAAGAGCGTTAGACTTCGTTTTTTAATTTGTTAAATATTTATAAAAAAAAGTAAGGTCTTAGATTTATAAAACACTTGGAACTGGATTTTTTTTAAATATGGGATTTAGAAAAATACTCAAAACGTGGAACATTGGAAAAATCACAGATTTAAAAAATAGTAAAAATTTTCAATTTTAAATACGGCGTAATTTTTAGGATCTCTGTTATAACAAAACTCTTTACTCTTGGATTTGGACAATATTTTAGGATTTTACCACTAGTATTGAAGTATTGTCTGGAGAATTTAGTTGAGAATGTCAAATGAGGTTTAAGGAGAATTGTAGAGAAATGATTCTTAAAGGATTCTGAGGACAATTCCAAAGGCATTCGACCAAAAGTTCCTGGTAATTTTGAGAAGTATTTCAAGTATATTTTAAGTAGAACTTAAGGCGAAATTCAGAATTCCAAAGTTGTTCTAAATCCAGGGAATTCGAAAGCAAATGAGAATGAATTTCAGCATTCTAAGGGCATTCGAAATTCTAAGTAAATTAAACCTACGACCAACTTAATAATGATATGAACACAATATTGATACCAAGCTAAAAACAATTAGCTTGAGTTTATGCGGCGATTAAAAAAAAAGCATACTATATTGTACGTATCCCCCCTCTTATCTAAGGGGCTACCTCCTATTATCATCTCCTTATACCTCCACATGCCAAATTTGGTTCCATTTGCTTGATTAGTTTTCGAGTTATGCAGAAATTTCTGATTCATTTGTATGGGAGCCCCCTTACAGAAAGGGGAGGGGTCTCAAACCATCATAAGAACCTTTCCCGGCCCCAGAAACCTCTCCATACAAATTTTCACGCCGATCGGTTCAGTAGTGTCCGAGTCTATAAGGGTCAGACAGACAGACAGACAGAAATTCATTTATATATATAGATAGATTATTCAATCAATCGATCAATAAAAGATTCCAAAGAGAAGAATTCTGAGAGGAGAGTTCCAACTTCGGTAATAATTTAAAAGGAATCTTATTCTGAATATGGTAATTTAAAGCAAGTTTCAAGGAAATTTATAATAGAATTCATAAAATGTTAGGGATAATTTCCGATAGATTTTCAAATATTTGAAATCACAGGGAATTTTGAGCATTTTTCCAAATATATTTGGAGTAGCTTACCAGGATATTCTTAAGAAATTTCAAAGGGAATTCAAAGAAGAGTTTCAAATGAATTCCAATAGATTCTTTTTAAGGGAATTTTGAGCAGAATTCGGAAGGAATGCTCAAGAAAGTTCCCTTACAATTCTGAGGTAAATTCTGGGAGAATAGTTTCTAAGGGCAAACCTAGAGATTTCTGAAGAATATTACCGTTCCGATTCAAATTTCGGACGATTCAAATTTCGGACACTTTCATTTTTAATTAAATATTACATCCAGTTAGAAACAAAGTAATAATGTTAGATGATCGTGGAGGGCACTAGTCAAAAAAATTTAAAATTTACAAGACATGTGGATCATATTCGACCGAGATAATCAACTTTTAAAAGTGTCCGAAATTCGAGTTTAAGTGTCCGAAATTTGAATCGGCACGGTACAAATGAATTTCAAACTAGAAATCCCTCTGAGGAACAACAAAACAATTCTCCCTTTCCCGACAGGGTGGTTGCTTTGCGTAGGCGAGGTTCGGTTTGCTCGAAAAGAGCATTACAAGTTTTGCTAACAAAAGCTGATAGTTGGTCGAGAACATAGCAGCGATATTTTTTGATAGAGGATAGCGAAGAGTTTTAACAAATCTTAATACCTACATATGCAGTAACCGGCATATTCTCCTGATCTAGGATAAACGAATATTTGCTTCTCCATCACAACATGGCAAAACATACCATGAGATCAGATCGATGATTCATGCTTTCTCATCCATTGTGGAACAACTATCGTGGCTGGAATTGCAAGGTTCAGTATGTGTTTACCACCCACACGTGCAAATTCACCAAGGTAACGATAGAATAATTCGGTGCCACCATTTCTTCAGGTCGAAACTACTTTTGTAAACAATGATTTCAATCGCCGATTTCTCGCAAAGTCCAGTTCAGTCCTGCAAACTAGCGACGCCAGCTGGCAGAGAAAACATTCCCCTACCTGATGGTGCCGTTACATTGTTATTACATTATTCGACGGCTAAAACCATTGCATACAAAAGCAATTTCGCGCTTTTGATATGTCGATGAAGAATTCCTCAACTACGAAGCCTATGATGCAACAATGATGTCATCGAAGCGTGAATTCCACCTGCTAGCAAGCTTCTCACGGATTAGCATCCTTCGGAAGACGCCACATGCAATCAATGGTAACCGCATCCGCTTGCGGTGGTAAACATTTCCGTACTATTACGTTCCACCGCCATCAGTCGCTGCTAACAATGCAAACGAAATCTTATTACCAATGTGCTACGTATCCAAACATTGGCAGCAGCCAATTGCTGATTCTATTTATAGCCAACGCGTTTCGGTTTCGTTCCAATATAGACGTCCGCCCTTATTGCACGCTGTTTGCAATGTCGCAGAAAATTAAAACCATCCAGAAAATCGAAACATCGCAACATAATCTGCTGGGTACATTTTATCCGACTGCCTGTGTGTGCTGCTCTAATCGAGTGGAAGACTTATTTTACAGATAGATTCGGATGATAGCATAATCTCTAGCATCCAACAACAAGAGTATGTAAGTGATACAGTGTGTAAAGATCTCTAATTGGCAGCAAGCAAAATAGCAAAAATTTCACCTTCAAATTGGGCCTTTTGTTTGTTGGATTCGAACTGCTTCAGCGTGTTCATCAGTAAATCCCTTTCGTCTTCGTTGAGGCGGTACACCAGGTCGTGGAGCTGTTCGCGTGTCAGTGTGGATGCTGCTTGCGTGTAATCCCGGCTATTATCAACACCCACCGATAAAAGCAGGATGGACCTGTGACCGTTAATACTGCCAAGCCTGCTCGAACCGTTCCTACAGGTGTTCTTCTTCAGGCTGCTGCTACTTTTGCTACTGCTCATACTGCTGAAACCTCTCCTCTGCGGTGGCACAGAACCACACAGGAACACTTCCCTTGCCCTTTCCGTACAGGACAATCCAGCTGATACTGCAGGAACCATAGTCCCCGCGGCATATCGCGTATACTGCTGAAGCACTGAGTTGGATACTCGGGTTAATGAAGAAACACTGGCACTCATTTTTCTTCCGTTTGAGAAAACACAATTATTTCCAGGCCACAATTTTCCTTCTATTCGTTTCACTGAATTCTCGGAAGTAACCTTCTCACACGCAACCCTTTCGACGGAGGAAAAGTCGCTCTCGGCTCAAGCAAAACACTCTTCGGGCCTCCGATTCAACACACAACCCACAGCAGCAGCAGCACCAGGAATTTTCTTATCACTTCACTAGGCAAGGTAGAGCTGATAACACACAAGGCTCCGTTCGGGACCGAAAACGACAACACTGACACAGGACGCCCGGAAGGGAAAGAGAGAACCGACTCCACGCCACGAGAACAAGAACACTACTAAACGGTGGGTTCGAGTTTTCCTCTCGGATTTTCCTCGCACCAAGTCAGTTGCTTTGCTGTTGGAATCGTTGGAATGGATTTTTGTTTGTTTGTTGTTGTTCTGACAAAAACATGACATTCAAAACATCGGACCGTCATCAGCGTTGACGCAAAACATACGCCCACCAAAAAAATGATTATACCAAAAGATTTTTTGTTTTGCATGGCGCCATCTAGTGGCAAATAGCATAAAGAAGTATTGTCGCTACACGGTAAGAAAAAAGTACCCAAAATTGAGTTCCTTTCACTCATCACGTGGCTTCCGTGGGGCTAGGTAAAATTAAGTTAAAGAAGAAAACTCAATTTTGAGTAATCCTGGCGTTGACCAAGTTGACAAAAAAATAATAAAACAGAGCAGACTGGAACCGAACCATGGACGTTGAGATTACGGGGCCCGTGTGTTGACCACTCGTCTATCAACGCTTGTGAAAATGAAATGGTTAAAGGCGCATAAAAGCAACCTTAATGAAAATAAACTTATATTTGAGTTCATTTATTATTACTCAATAGTTGAGTAAATTTTAACCAACGCCGCTTTTCTGATTCACTCAACGGTGGACCTCAAATGATAGAACCTAACGTTGAGTTTTTTTAAACTTACTTTTGAGTATTTTTTCTTACCGTGTAGACTTGAAAACCGAAATGACCAACTCGCGACAATTGGCAAATCAAAGTTGGTACTCGTGGAGAATAGAAGAACTATAAAAGTGATGATGGTTTCAAAATTTTCCACGGGGAAGTATACGAGTGGAATCTTAAAATGCTTTTATTTTGCAAATGGAACATTTTATTTAAATCTGGTTGGTGCTATGTTAGTAGAAAACTTAAGGACTACTCAATAGACAAATAATATAGAAAAATTCATTTCTTTTCAGATTTTTAGCTGTACACATAGATTTGAGCTTTTCTACCACTGTAGCAGCAACCAGATTTAAATAAAATGTTCCATTTGCAAAATAAAAGCATTTTAAGATTGCACTCGTATACTTCCCCGTGGAAAATTTTGAAACCATCATCACTTTTATAGTTCTTCTATTCTCCACGAGCGCCAACTTTGATTTGCCAATCGATTTCACTCTTGTTGTGTACGTTACACTGTGACTGGCAAGCACCCATTAATGGGTGAAAAAGTACCCATTTCGAAGTAAACTAGGTAAACTCATAAAATGGGTAAAACGTCTTTACCCAATAATGGGTAAAGAGCTTGTACGGCAATTCATCGGGTATTTTTTACCCATTTTCAGAAATGAAAAGATTTAGAAAATGGGTAAAAAGTATACATTTTCGATAATTGAGCTATTTAGAAATTAATTTTAATTTGATTTTTCGCATATTTCATTGAAATGGCGGAAACATTAGCATTAATAACTTGTTTTTTATTTATTTCGATAATAATAACTTGGCATCCACTGTCTGCTGTGCAATGTGTTGCTTTTGTCGGACGTTTCTTCATGTCATCCCTTCCTGGAACACTTTGTTCACGGCCACTTCCATGTGGATCTGAAATTAACAATAAAAATCATTAAATTTTATCTGAATTTCATAATGTACACCACCTAGATATATTTCAAATAAATACTTACATTTCAATACTCATTTTACTAGGCATAGATGGCATAGAAAATCAATTTTTAAGCCCTCGTAATATGCTTTGTGTTAGACAATATTCACTATTGATTAAGATAATTTTCACCCAATAATGGGTAAAATAATACTCATTTTTCTTCCCCGAAGAGGTCAAAAAGATGGGTACAAAAGAACCCATTTTCAAAAATATTCAATTACCCATTATTTGACAGCTTCATATACTTACTTATAATGGGTACTTTTATACCCATTAATGGGTACTTGCATGTTACAGTGTACACGCTAACTTGAAAGTACCCATTAATGGTTGAAAAATACCCATTTTGAAGAAAAGTGGCTTAACTCATTAAATGAGTAAATTTTTTACCCATTAATGAGTATCTGTTACCCATTAATGAGTAATTGTTAATCATTAATGGGTAACAGATACTCATTAATGGGTAAAATTGTTTAATCATTAATGAGTTAAGCCACTTTTCTTCAAAATGGGTCTTTTTTTACTCATTAATGAGTACTTTCAAGTTAGCGTGTAGAGATAACGTCGCATCTAGTGCGAACCTAAAGGCCGGCGCACAATAGGTACGTTTTAGGGTTTTTGACAGGTAATGCATGGGCTAACTGTCAAAAAACCTGAAAACGTAAGGGCAAGCCAGCTGTACTCAGAGTTAATATTTTAGCACCGAGTAAATTTGATCAACTCATAATTACTCAACAATGATCAAAGTAGTCATTCATCAACAAATACAAACTAAATACAGTGTGATTAAATATAATGTGACATAGTGATAGTTTCTTATTATTTTATTATATTCATGTTACAAATCATTAGTAAATCAATTGAATTACATCATGAATTACCCTGCCCGAATAGAAATTGTAATGTAGGAAACATCAGCAGACATCTTCAATACATTAAATTTTAACGTGTATTGCTGTACCCATAATGTATTCAGACTTCAGTGTGACATCCAAGTACATAAAAATACATTAGCCTCAAACGTTACATTAGAATCAAACGTCTTGACGATGTAAAATTTGACATCAGAATACATCCAATGACAACAGAACCTAACGTTACATTAGAATCAAACTTCATCACGATGTAATTTGTTGCAGACATAAAGCATCAGAATACATCCAATGACAACAGAACCAAACGTTACATTAGAATCAAAGTTCATCACGATGTAAATTGTTGTCCCTCGGTCCCTCGCCGCATGCAAACTTTGTTTTGTCCTGAGTCAGCACTACACGGCGAATGAGAACGACCCAAATTTGAGTTTAGTTCACTCATAAATCGCAAAAAGTGCAGGAACTCAGTTTTGAATTAATTTCCCTCATGTTTTCCAGGTTTTTCCAGGAAAATTTTTCCGAATATGAGAAAAGCAAAGATTGGATTCTCTGGATTCTCGTCAATTTTCCTAATTTTAGGGCAGATTTTTGAGGTTTTCCACAGGAAAACATGCGGCAAATTTACTCATCCTGCACTTTTTTCGATATTGAGTACACTGTACTCAAATTTGCGTTGATCTCATTAGCCGTGTACAGTTTTTTTCGCAGTGGGAAAAGTCTGGATTAACAATAGAAAAGGGCCCATCAGCATTTGTAAACAAACAGTTCTAAAGCGCTTTACTGACAAATCAAACGCCACCCACGCACACCAACACCATCATCGTGTAGGGGAAACTTTCCCCTATCCAATGATGGTGTTGGTTTGCGTGGGCGGCCTTCGTTTTCTGAGGAAAGGGCTTTAGAACGATTTGTTTACAAAGGCTGATGGGCCCTTTTCTATTGTTGATCCAGAAGTTTGGTTTTTTGACGAATTAGCCCGGGAAAGTGCTGATCAAGGTGACTACATATAGGTGTTCTAATGTGTCAAATTCACGATTCAGCTATGTTGAATTTTTGTATGGGACAGCGACCGAGTTTGTAATTTTGTAATTCGTAATTTATTGATAGCATAACGAAAACCTGTCAGTTACAGAACCATAAATCAGGTCAATGAAGCAATTTGCTCTAAAACCGCACTTTTCCCCCCGCGACCTCCTCGCCTATATAGTGAACAAAGCTGTATAACCATTTATATACACACCATGGTGCCGATAATGTGTCCGTCGCGAGTTTTGGTGGCGATTTAATGTTTTTCTGGTAAGTAAATGTTAATTTATTAATGTAATGTAGTGATGTAATTATGTTTTTTTTTAGGAAAGTGTACCACTCCCAAGCCGAATCCCGGCAGGGAGTCCGAAGCTGGATCCCGGCGGGGAGTTTGCAGCCGGATCTCTTTGCAGGTTAGTGAGTGTGTTTACTTAAAGCTACAATAAAGTAGAAGTGGACCCCTATGGAAATCCGATGACGGATTCCATAGACGGAGCCCGATGACGGGTTCCGTAAACGGATCCCGATGACGGGTTCCGTAGACGGATCCCGATGACGGGTTCCGTAGACGGATCCTGATGACGGGATTCCGTAAAGGGATCCCGATGGGGAAACCGAATACGGATCCCAATAGGGAAACCGAATACGTATCCCGATGGGGATTCCGTAGACGGATCCCGATGGGGAAACCGAATACGTATCCCGATGGGGATTCCGAATACGGATCCCGATGGGAAAACCGAATACGGATCCCGATAAGAAAACCGAATACGGGTCCCAATGGGGAAACCGAATACGGATCCCGATGGGAATTCCGTAGACGGATCCCGATGGGGTAACCGAATACGGATCCCGATGGGAAAACCGAATACGGGTCCCGATAAGAAAACCGAATACGTATCCCGATGGGGATTCCGAATACGGATCACGATGGGGAAACCGAATACGGATCCCGATAAGAAAACCGAATACGTATCCCGATGGGGATTCCGAATACGGATCCCGATGGGGAAACCGAATACGGATCCCGATAAGAAAACCGAATACGGGTCCCAATGGGGAAACCGAATACGGATCCCGATGGGAATTCCGTAGACGGATCCCGATGGGGAAACCGAATACGTATCCTGATGGGGAAACCGAATACGTATCCCGATGGGGAAACCGAATACGGATCCCGATGATAAAACCGAATACGGGTCCCAATAGGGAAACCGAATACGTATCCCGATGGGGATTCCGTAGACGGATCCAGATGGGGAAACCGAATACGAATCCCGATGGGAAAACCGAATACGGATCCCGATGGGGAAACCGAATACGTATCCTGATGGGGAAACCGAATACGGATCCCGATGGGGAAACCGAATACGTATCCCGATGGGAAAACCGAATACGGATCCCGATGGGGAAACCGAATACGTATCCTGATGGGGAAACCGAATACGGATCCCGATGGGGAAACCGAATACGTATCCCGATGGGAAAACCGAATACATATCCCGATGGGGATTCCGAATACGGATCCCGATGGGGAAACCGAATACGGAT